AAAGCGCGCAACATATCCTCAAGCGTCTGAATGGTCCACTCGGACTGACCATCTGTCTCTGGATGGTAGGCTGAACTGAACTCTAGCTTCGTGCTCATCGCCTCGTGTAAACTGTGCCAGAATCTACTAACGAATCTGGGATCTCTGTCTGATACGATAGTAACGCGCACTCCGTGGAGTCGAATGATTCCACGGGTATATATCTCAGCCAACTTATCCAAAGACATCTTCATCGAAACGAGTAAGAAATGAGCGACCTTAGTCAATATGTCGACCACGACCCAAATAGCATCGTGATGTTCAGACGACCTCGGTAATCCCGTAACGAAATCCATCGTGACTTCCTCTCACTTCCACCTCGGAATCCGCAGTGGTTGCAGGAGGCCGATCGGACTCTGATGTTCGGCTTTGACTTGCTGACAGGTAAAACATTTCCTGACGAACTCAGCAACGTCTTTCTTCATCCCTCGCCACTAGAACGACCCTTTCAGGTCATGATACATCTTCGTGCTCCCAGGATGGGCTAGATACGGTGCGGTATGAGCCTCTGATAATATCTCCTTCCGCAACGCCTCGACTTTCGAGACCACGATCCTGCCCCTGAACTCCAATGCTCCATCTGAACCTAACTGAAAACCCTCGACGCCTCCGGCGCGGACTTTGGCCTCCATGACTAGAATGAATTCGTCAGAAGCCTGCTCTTGCCGGATTCTTTCTCTCAGTGTCGGCTGAATCTGCATGGCACTGATACTGGCACTGACACCCCCTGAAATAGTTGTGGGAAGTGCATCAACCGCCTGAATCTGCATTCGGGCGAACTCCTGAATTAGCGGACTCTGCTGAGTAACGACGTACGTCAAGTCACCCCTCACCTTTCGGCTTAGGGCGTCAGCAACGACGTTCGCCTTTCCCGGATGGTACTGAATCGAGCAATCGTAATCTTTGACGAGCTCGAGCCAACGGTGCTGTCTCATGTTGAGCTCCTTCTGCGTGAAAATGTACTGCAAGCTCTTATGATATGTGAAAATCTCACAACGACCACCATAAAGGTAGTGTCGCCAGATCTTGAGGGCATGAACAACTGCGGCTAACTCCAAGTCGTGTGTCGGATAGTTCTGTTCGTGTGGCTTGAGCTGACGTGACGCATAGGCAACGACCTGGCCGTCCTGCATGAGTACACATCCCAGTCTCTGCTTCGAAGCATCAGTGAAAATGGTGAAACTCCGAGAAGGATCGGGAATAGTCAACACCAGGGCTGAAGTTAATCTCTTCTTGAGCTCCTGGAAGCTCGACTCACAACGATCAGTCCACTCGAACTTCACAGACTTCCTCGTCAGCTGGGATAGTGGGAGGGCAATCTTAGAAAAGCCCTCGATAAACCTTCGATAGTAGCCACCTAAATCGAGAAAACTGTGAACCTTGGACAGACTCTTTGGTGTCGACCAGTTCTGAACAGCTGAGGCCTTAGAAGGATCCACCTTGATACCTGCCTGAGTAATCACATGACCCAGAAAAGCTACTCGTTGGAGTCAGAACTCGCATTTGGAGAATTTTGCATACAACTTTTCTCGTCTGAGGGTTTCGAGAACAACCCTCAGATGCTCCTCGTGCTCCTTCTGGCTCTTCGAGTAGATAAGAATATCGTCAATAAAGACAATAACAAAATGATCGAGGTAGGGATGGAAAATACGGTTCATCTGGTCCATGAAAACCGCTGGAGCATTACTGAGGCCGAATGGCATGACGACGAACTCGTAATGGCCGTAACGAGTCCTGAAAGTGGTCTTAGCAATATCTGACTCCTTAATCTTCAGCTGGTGGTAGCCTGAGCGCAAATCAATCTTTGAAAACACACAGGCTCCCCTCAACTGATCGAATAAGTCGTCGATCCTGGGAAGCGGATACTTGTTCTTGATCGTCAACCGGTTAAGATCCCGATAGTTGATACACATGCGCATGGATCCGTCCTTCTTCTTGACAAAGAGAACGGGTGCTCCCCAAGGTGACACGCTCGGTCAGATGAAACTGAGTCATAATAGCTCCTGAATCTGCGCCTTAAGCTCCTGCAATTCTTTCGGCGCCATACGGTATGGGGCTTTGGATACTGGGCCGGCTCCTGGAATAAGATCGATAGAGAACTCCACCTGCCGGTTAGGCGGTCCTCCTGGAAGCTCGTCTGGGAACACATCCACGAACTCACGAACAACTGGAACATTGTGAGGTGATCGTGCTTTCTGAGAATCATCAACAAGGCTCACCAGATAACCCTGGCTGTTGCCTCGTCGCAGCAACTTGGTATCTTTCGCCATTGAAACGACATGAGGCAATGAACGATTCTTGGTGCCAAAGAAGGTAATTGAGTCGTCACCTGGAAGATAGAGAGTAATCTCCCAGTCATGACATCGGATATCTGCATGATAAAAGGATAGCCAATCCATCCCGAGAATGAGGTTAAAGTCCCTCATCTCAAGAACATACGCGTCGGTAGACAATGAACGACCACCGATAGAAAGGCTGAGATCTGAAGCTTTAGATGAAGTCACTATCTTTCGTCCTGAGGCTAGACTCACCTCGAGAGGATCGACAGCGGTAATGGCATGAACTCCGATGGCATCAAGGCATCGTCGTGAAATAAAGGAGTGCGTCGCTCCAGTATCGAATAAAGCAAACACAGGAACATTATTTAACATGATCATCCCTGACATAGTACTTGGCTGCTGCTTGGCCTCGACCTGATCGACTGCGTAAACTCGAGCCTGTTGTCTGCCCCTCTGCTGCTGCTGCTGTGGTGGCCTCTGAGCCTGCTGACGGGGCTGCTGCTGCTGCTGTGGCTGCTGAAGCTGCTGGGGCTGTTGGGCCTTCTTCGGACAACGGTTAGCAAAGTGTCCGGGCTCGTGACAGTAATGGCATACATTCTGGCCCAATCGACACTCTCCGCGGTGAAGTCGTCTGCAGGTGGGGCACTGTGGAATCTGTTGTAGCCTTCGCCGGGTCCTCTTGTCCATCGGGGCACCTTTCCCCTTCCTCTTGTTGTTCTTCGGTGGCTGGGCAGTGGCTGGTGGCATCGATGGAGCTGTAGAAGACTGGGCAGGGGCAACTGGCTGCAATCGATCATAGTTCGCCTCCCTTCGAATGCTGGCATCCACCTCCTGAGCAATCGAAACAGCACGTGCATAGGTCTGGGTCCCATGTCCTACAATGTTGTGACGGACTGCTGGGTAAAGCCCGTCAATGAAGCGCTGTGCCCTCAGTGCCTCCCGTACGAACCAGGTCCGGAATAAAAGCTG